CACACATAATTTTTCTCTTGGACTTGTCTCTTTCTTTAAATCAGGATCTATTCTAACTTATGTTGAAAAACTCAATTGAGATGTTTGCCAATCACTTCTCCCTTAGTGTCGATTCTTCATTTGTATTATGAGCCGTTATTTGATTACTTACCTTACCAATCAGACTAAGGCCTTGTTGTCCTCAGCTGTCCGAAGAAGTCGTCTCCACTCTACTCGATCCATGGTCACACTTCGCCAGCCTCGTAGTCTGCGAAGGGTCCACAGGTCGCCTTCTACTTGGTCGATCCACCTTGCCCGCTGCGCGCCTCTTCTTCTTGTTCCTGTTGGGTCGCTTTCTAGAACCAGCCCACCGTAGTCGCCCAATTTTTGCAATGTGGACGATGGATGGTTCTCCCAGCAGCTGGTGCAATTCGCGGTTCATTCGCCTCCTGCACGTTCCGTCATCCATATGCACTCCACCGTAGATGGTACGCAACACCTTCCGTTCGAAAACACCAAGGGCGCATTGGTCCTCCACGAGCATAGTCCAGGTCTCGTGGCCGTAGAGGACCACCGGTCTAATCAGCGTCTTGTAGACAGTCAACTTCGCGCGGCGGTGAATTTTATTCGACCGGAGCGTCCTCCGGAGTCCAAAGTAGGCATGATTTCCTTCCATAATGCGTCTTTTAATTTCTCTGCTGGTATGATTTTCGGCGGTCAAAAGTGAGCACAAATACACGAACTCATCGACCACCTCGATTTCGTCACCGTCAATCTGAACTCCGGGTGGGATGCTAACATGGTCTTCCCTAGAACCTCTTTCTTTCATGTATTTTGTCTTTGATGTGTTGATGGCAAGTCCAATCCACCTAGCTTCAGCCTTCAGTCTGATGTACGTTTCCGCCATCGTCTCAAAGTTCCGTGCCATGATGTCAATGTCATCGGCGAAGCCAAGAATTTCTGGCGGATTTCTGCAGAACCTGCCAAATCGCGAAAGTTTGGTCCGTGGTAGCGCGGGCACCCATGAATCCCGCCTGGTATTGCCCCACGAACTCTCTTGCAAATGGTGACAGGCGGCGGCATAGAATTTGGGAGAGTACCTTGTAGGCGGTGCTCAGCAGTGTGATCGCGCGGTAGTTGCAGCCATCCAACTTATCGCCCTTTTTGTAGATTGGGCATACGACACCTTCCATCCACTCCTCCGGTAATATCTCCTCCTCCCAAATCTTGGCAATTACCCAGTGCAGCGGTCTAGCCAGTGCTTCAACACCGTATTTTAATAGCTCACTTGATAGTTGATCTACACCAGTTGCTTTGTTGTTCTTCAGCCGACCGATCTCCTCCTCAACTTCTTGAAGATCAAGGGCCGGTAGCCTGTCGTCTTCTGCGCATGCTTCAAGGTCTGTTGCCGTGCCACCTTCGTTTTCTACTGCTTCACCGTTGTTGTCGCTGCAGCAGTACTACCTATGGCGGAACGGATATCCCTCCAGCCATCTTCAAGAGAAGCTGCTCTTCCGTGGGCAACTTCCAGCTGCTGCGCGTAGGTCTGGGCAACTCCAGCGTCCTGTAGTTGCTCAATGTTGGGTCGCGGCGTTCGACTTCGACGTGTGTTATGCACCGTCGAGAGTTTTGAGCACATGCATACCACCCACGAACCGACGTGACAGCTCAAAAAAGCTACACTCAAATTCTTGCCCAAGACGCCATATTTAAAAATCTATGTTCGCACTGCGGTACGTGTGGACGTTGATAATGTCGGAGAAGAATTTCCCGTCGATTAGAACGTGATTGATTTGGTTTTCTGTGTGTTGGTGGCTTTGTAGATATCCTTGCGGGGGAAAAAGGTACTTCGAACTACCATACCCCGAGAGGCTGCAAAGTTCACGCATCGTTGGCCGTTGTCGTTCGATACATGCAGGCTGTTTGGTCCGATTGCCGGTCTATACATTGCCTCCCGTCCTACCTGAGCGTTCATGTCGCCGATGACGATTTTGACGTCCCGTTGCGAACACCCGTTGTACACCTGCTCCAGCTGCACATAGAACACTTCTTTCTCGTCGTCGGGTCTCCCTTCGTGTGGGCAGTGCACGTTGATGATGCTGTAGTTGAAGAAACGGCCCTTAATCCTCAACTTGCACATCCTCGCGTTGATCGGCTGCCAACCAATCACGCGTTGGCGCATCTTACCCAGCACTACAAAGCCGGTTCCCAGCTCGTTGGTGATGCCACAGCTCTGGTAGAAAGTAGCCGCTCGATGCCCGCTTTTCCATACCTTTTGTCCCGTCCAGCAAAGTTCGTGCAGTGCTACGACTTCGAAGTTGCGTGGTTGAAGTTCGTTATAGATTAACCTATCACAGCCCGGGAAGCCGAGCGATTTGCAGTTCCATGTTCCGAGTTTCCACTCGTAGTCCTTATTTCGTCGCGTAGGTCTGTGCCGATTGTTCCGATCCGTATTTCTTTCTTCAGTATTTTCAACTTTATGTTTTTTTCCAGGGCGGCTTGTTGGGCCTGCCCCAACCCCCTATCTCGCCGGGGGACCATCGTGCACAGCTCTGTTTAGAGTCCCACGCTGGCACTAGGACGGTGATCAGCCGCTCCTAACATGGAGAACAGACGCCGTTTTGAGCCGCACCTCCATGGCGAACAGATGCTCGGGTTTGGTGAAGCATTTCCTCTATCACCGTACTATGTTTACCTCGCCAGCTGTTATTTGATACTACTACTGAAAATGCTCAAAAGTTATATCTCTGAGGCTGTCCACATTCCACGTGGGCAGTTTTTGAGGTGTTTTAGGCTACCTCTTTTCCCTGCGTGATCAATCATCCATATGAATGAATCCATGTGGTATATGGACAGCCCCTCTCTTGGAGTTGACGCCTTCTTTGTACCGTGAGCTGTTCTTTGACTGATAAAAGCTTTTGAACAATCCAACTCGAAATTTAAGTTAACGAGTCTTTAAGGGTAATAAGCATTTTGGGGTGATGGGTCATTCGGGCTGTATTACGCATTGATGGAAAATAGATTACGTTTAGGTGCCGAATGCTGGAATGGATTGCTGGATCGTTTCCCACAATCCGTTTTGCTGAAGTACGCAACATTTGTTATGCATTTATGATTTGACAATTCTCTTTGTTTTTTATCTTGATTCTATTTATTGATATTTTCTGGATTCTATAATTGTTCTTCATGACTGAAGATTAATCATTCCATTCTTTTTCCAATTTTTCTACTCAAAATAAAAACTCGTATTTGAAGTTTGACTATATGTTTCGTATTACTTGTGCGTGAAGTCAACGATTTACATAGTTGAAGATGCTTATTTCAAATAACAGACTAAAGTGGTAATTTTTATACGATAGATGAGAAGATGAAAGTATAGAGTTGATAGTTCCGTTAGAGTATGGCAGTGTGAAAATTGTCGTATTTGAAATACATTATTTTACTAGAATTTATGAATTTAGGCAAACATCGATTATCGCATCGTATACTATGGTTAACATCCACATTTGGATATAATTGTATGGCTAATGTCCATTCTGGTTACCTGGTTACGTATGGCAAACGTCCGTAGCGCCAATGGGGTGTCATCTTTACTGATCACATATATACGTATAATATAATAAATTTACCCAATCATAAATATAACTACGATTCACAAATGCACTCGTGGATGCAAAGCGATAGTAAACTGATAATTGATGATGACGCTACTTCATTCAATCACTCTTGGATCGATTGCCATTAAAAACAAAGCAACGAAACTCTTGCTCATATGCACATCTAGGAGCGCAGTTGGAACTTTTGCGAAATGATCGGTCGATAACGATGGCATTTGTTTCGCATTCAGTGTCCGGTGTCTGTCTAATGTTTCCGGTTCGGCACCTATGTAATCATGCATCTTAAGGACAAGGTTAATAGAATTCAAAAATGGCCGTTGTCTTGTAAAATCAGCCATGATAGCGGCCATTTGTGGATTCTATCAATCTTGTCCTTAATTTAATGGCTACATACTCCCCAACTGGAACTTTACGCCTACACTCATGTTATTTATTTATTATACATCAACAGGCTATCTTTAGGCTGTGAACCATTTGCCGAGTTAAATTTAACTCGTTGTTAAAAGTGACATTTCGAAAGTTATTTTCTATGTTCGAAAATCCCTGTGTTGTCGATCGACCGGTTTTCGAGAAGAACTTAACCAAGGTTGTCAAAATTTAACTTCTTGTCTGTCAGAAGTAACCACGCTAGGATAACAGGGTTAATAGATAACTTTCCATCTCTCAAATTTTAACAAAAAGTTAAAATAATCCACCAAATGGTTGAGACCCTTAGATGACATACATTATTCATAACCTAAACCCACTAAAATTACGTTTACAAGCAGCAGCAGCAAACACTATGGAACTCTAAGAAAAGTTGAGAATATTTTCAAGCCGAAATTATGTTCGATCGACTACTTACATACCCTGACTTGTGCCGAATGAGTAATAACATCAACGGATCAGCAGGACACCACGTAACAGTGTAATATGACCCGTACGTAGTGATACGTAACCGTGCACGAAACTGGCTTGTGTTTTTGTTATACATACTACGTCTACCCGCGTTGTATACTCATTATAGCTATCTCTACACACAGCTGATAATTCCCCTGTTGCAGTCTTCCGACTGGCGGTATACTGAGTGAAAATAAAGTAACAAAAAACATTAGGTACCTAGCTATTCTGTGTTGTCGTCGACAGTGAAATGACGCGAATCGGACGTTTGCCGTTTTCGTTTGTGAATGAACACGACCGGTGGGATGACACTAGTGCAGTGACCCCTGAGCGGTTAATCTAATAAGTGAGCAAGAGAATGAATTGACTACTGATGTTTACGTATTTAGGTACCACACGTATCGAATATTGTTTCTAATCTGCTTTATAAAAAATGGCCTTAGACTTATCCTTGAATAAGCTGACTTAAGTGTATCGATGTAATCAGCCGACTTATCTAATCCTTTGAAACACCTCCGATTTCAGATTCCTACGCTACCAGCAGGACTGCGGTCAGGATATCAACGACCGCTTCATTCAGATATTCCGGGATACGGAAAAGACCCCACTTCGTAATATCCGCCTGCGAAACAGCACAATCACCAATGAAGGCATGCGAATATTGCTACGGCATAAGCTCAACTCGCTCTCGATGTGGTACTGCAACAAAATTACGACGGCTTCGTGGAACATCCTGACCGAAAACTGCAGGCAGTTGCGTTCGCTTGAACTGGGTCGATTTGTTGACATGTTGAAGCACAGCGAACCGAACGAGAAGACACCAATCGACTTCCAGTTGGTCCTGCCGCAGTTGCGTCAGCTGATTCTCAACGGGGTAGTACTGCAGCCGTCGATCCACTTCGGGTAAATATCATCATCATCATCGATTTCGATTTCCAAATGCGTCAACCGATACTCATGTTCCCATTTTATACAAAGACATCTCTCGGAGTTGACGTACCTCGACCTGACGGCATGCATATTTGCGGAATTCAGCCTGAAAGCGTTGGTCGATCTACCGAAGCTGAAGGCCCTGATCCTGTTCAACGTGTGGCCCTTGGACCATGAGTTTCCCACATTGTGTAAGCTGAAAAACCTGGAAACGCTGGATTTGTCCGTTTCGAGGGCGAATGTGGATGGAAATTACCTGACCCCCAATAAGGTAAGTGTCGCTATTGTTATTTGGGAAACCTCGGGTAGATTAAAAAAAAGTAGTCTACAAAGGTTTGAACCTCGTGGGCGTATTACGAATGTAGAGGACTGAATTTAAAATTTGATAAAACAAAATGTAATTTTGAAGTTTATTTGGAAGATACCTTGAGTTAGTGTTAAGCAGGGTGGCAACTGAACCAGGAAAACCAGGAAACCCGGGAAAAAGTCGGGAATTTATTTTCACCAGGAAAAACCGGGAAAAAGCAAGGAATTTCATAAGTCGACCAGGAAAATAATCTTGTTTGTATAAATTAAATAGGGGAAATGCAGGTAAAGTCGGCCTAAGTGTTTCCTTAATTTGGGCCCATACATTAATTCAGCAGTCGACTAAATTTTCAATAGCAACCAAAAATATCCATTACTAACGTCCCAATGACGCGTTCATCTAGATAAAATTGATAAAAATAGCAGATTTTTAGCGATGGGCCCAATCTTAGATCCATAGGTCAGCATTATAGACATTTCCCCTAGGTTTTAAATTTTATGTATGTCAAAGTTTCTTTTTATAATCAGGTCAAAACTAATCATTTTGTTCAAGCTAAATCTTTCACACAACCAAACATTGATGAACAAAATTTACCCTGAGAATTTAGTAAATATATTTTGTATTTATTTTTAATTTAATTTTTTTCTCGTATCAATTGCATGTATAATTTGTGCATAATTGATAGCAGACTTAAGCAGTGCCGACGCGTAACTACTTTGAAGTACCTGTTCAACATGTTCAATAAAAAAAGTTATATTTCTAAAAACTTCAGATAAGGCCTTCGAACTTTATGCAAGTTCTACTAAATTCGGAAAACTCTTACAAGTTTCAGGAAAATCCTGTGAACTACTGTGATGACCTACGACGGTCAGAAAATCTCTTCGAACCTTCAGAGAAGTTCTACAAGTTTCAGAGAAGTCCTACGAACTTCAGGGAAGTTCTTTAATCTTTGGGAATAACTACGAATTTTGCAAAATTTTCTACAGATTTAATGTAACTTCTACGACATTTAGGCATTGCTTAAAACTTAAGGATAATCCTATGATACTTACGAATTTTTTCCGAGCTTCAGAGAAGTCTTCAATACTCTTGGGAAGTCCTCTGAACTTAACATAGTTCTCCAAGCTCAAAAAAGTTCCTAGAACTTCCGAGAAGTCGATTGAACTACAGGTAGTCCTACGAAATTCATGGGAGCTCTCCAAACTTGAAGGAATTTCCAAGAAATTAAGGAAAGACCCACAAACTTTTGAAAAACCTTTCGATATTTAAAGCCTTATGAACTTCAGGGAAGCTCTTCTAAATTTAGGGTCCTCATATATTCAGTTATGTCCTTCAAACTTCAGGGAAGTCCTCAGATCTTCGAGAAAGTGCTTCGAACTTGAAGGAAGTCTTACGAACTTCTGAGAATTTCCACGAACTTCGTGGTACTTCTACGATATTTAAGAAATTCCTATGAATTTCAAAAAACTCCGAACTCCTAAGATCTTAAAAAAAAGTCCTTCGAACTTCGGGGAGGTCCCATGAAATTCAGGCCTTACAAACTTCAATGAACCCTTCAGGAAAGAGCTTAACGCTTCAGGGAAGTTCTACGAACTTTAGGGAGTTTCTATGAACTTCAGCAGTCAGTTTTTTTTAATAATAAGAGTTATTAAACCAGCGTTGTTTATGAAATCTTTTAATCATATGATTTTGAAATCATGTTGCAATCAAAATTCCGCTAAATAAGATCCTTAATCGTTGATAATTTGCGGAAAATTTAAACAAACTGGAAATCCGTACAATTGTTAGAAGCAAAGGTTTGGTTAAAGAGTCCTCATTCATATCACACTTCGCAATTTCACCTTCAGATAAATAATAATAAAGTTTAAAAAAATCGCAGTTTCAAAAATAGAAACCCAAAAGATTTAGGGGCTTATAGATCTCTAAATTTCAGACATTAGATAGGGCTCCGCGCTAGTCCGTCGTATCTAAGCTTCTCTTCGTCATACACCCCTAAAATCGCTCATATTACGGGTTATCGCAAATGTTTCGGTATCAATCGTAATTAATCTTGTAAGCAAAGATGTTTTTGCAAAAACATGAGTGAAAACGCTTTGCTATTATAGTTTTAGCACATAGAACGGAAATAGGTGCCATGATACGACGAAGTAGCGCGGCTCCCTACTAGCTTCTTTACAGCAAACAATCAGATAAAGATTTCACGGGCATTCACAAGAACCTCAATACCTATTTTGGTTTGTGAAATTCCGCATTGCGCGAAGAATGATGGTACAGGATCCACTTTATTTTTTTTTATTCAAAATTGTTTTTTAAATACATGGTTTTTAAAACCAGGAAATTTTTAAATCATTGACCAGGAAAACCAGGAAAAAGCCAGGAATTTCAAAATGTAAATTCACTTGCCACCCTGAGTAATTTTTCTTGCAAATGTTGGGGGTTTTTGAGCATGCTTGAAACTGTTGAAAATTATGATAGCATCAGATTGCGGGGTAGCTAGTGTAATATGATGCTTTGTTAATTGTTCATTAACTCTTGATCGCTTGTAATACTTATGAATATTTTAGGTGGACAAAAAGGCAAACTAACTAACGCCTGAGTTTTTCAACATTTATATCGTTGTGAAGCAACTGTAAACTCAAGAGGGAATTTATATCTGTAACTGTAACCAGTTCGATTTTGTTTGCTAACCTGGTTAAAATGTCATATTTAATTATCTTAAAGATAAATCATCCAGCTCAAACTTTTGTAGGGGTAAAAGTGGGACCATCATCGCCATACGGTGTTTGGAATATTCCACGATGGATTTTCCAGGTGACTGTGCACGATTTCTTTTCTATGCTAATTTACATGGTGACTGTGCCCAAAACAAGAGCGTTATATGAACTGAAAAAAAATACACGTTATTGTTAATGTTGTTGTCTCCAAAAAGACGTCAAAAGCTTCCGAAAACGTCCAGTAGGAGCGCTGTAATAATCTTTGTGGCTTTTATTTGTTATTACAACCATTTTGGTGTAGCAGACCTACCTTCAAATTTGTTTAGATTTGCCTCGAAAACCTTCCGGGATTATCCTCATAATTCTTCGGTCTTCCAATGAGTAATAAGTCCAACACATCAAATAGCAAATATGGGAAATGGATGTAATCTCGGCTTAAATGCCTCTAATTTGGGCCCATACATAAATTCAGCAATGGAATAAATTTTCAATAGCGACCAAAAATATCCACCGGTCAAACTAACGGTGGAAACTAACGATTTCAAATTGGCTCACTACTTGACTAGCCTATTGGTCCCAAGCAAATCGATTAACGTATCCCATTCTAGTCAAAATTCTAGTACTACACAATGTTTGTTTTGATTCGCTATGAAAGTTTAACAGATAAAATGAGGGGTTAGTGGATTTTCCTATGTTTCGAGGGGTGAATCGATTAGCTTGGGACCGAAGATAGTACCAGAGCTGAGCCAAAAAGTTGAGCACGTTTCTTCGGGACCTACTAGTCTTAGAGCTACCTCTATGTTAGTACCGTCCCAATTATGCGTTCATCTAGAATCTAGATAAAAATGATAAATAGCAGATTTTTAACGATGGGCCCAATCTTAGATCGATAGGCCAACATTAGAGCCATTTCCCTTATCCATATTAGCCACTTGAGCCTATTTTCACAACATTCTTCAATTGATTCTACAATTCCAGTTGCTGGCAAACTTGGTCGAAAACCTTCCCCGCCTGCGTCACTTGGACATATCCGGTACCAACCTAGCCGGAGATGGAGTGGCGATGAAGACAAACAACACCGCCAGCAGTTCCGATATACCTGGCCTGGCCAGTCGAGCCGATCGACCGCTGGAATTCCTGGGTCTGTACTATACGGCGCATTCGGCTTGCAAGTGGCATGATATTCCAGCACTGAAGGTAGTCTCGGGCATTGTTTGATTGGTACGGTCGTCTAAATGTTATTTCTCAATGGTAGATCGCTGGCGAAGCAACCGAAGATCAGATTCTAGTAGCGGCATCCGTCTATCAGGATCGTCATGAGTTGCTAACAAAAGTACTCAATGATCTCTACCACCTGCTGCGGTTCGAAACCTGCAAGCAAATTCACAAAGCGCTGGACGTTGTGCTGTCCGCCATGGACAAACACATTCGAGTCAAAAATATACAAATTAGTGGCAGGTGAGTACACTTGAAAGTCGGAATCCTTAGCGGGTAATTTATGTTGTCATTATTTCCAGTGCCACACTGTTCTACATCGTCAAAGGGCGTAACAAAATTCAATTTGGCGTACCCTTGAAGAATCACATAATCCACACCCTGCTGAATGGAATGTCGACCCATTTAACGGATGATACCATGATGCGAAACGGTTGTCTGACGTTATGCCAGTTTAACATACCTCAGGATGTGGTTAGTGGGCTGTTGTCGTAACGTTTTTTTTTTGAGGATATCAAAATAAACACTTAATTTTTTTACAGTTATTCGAATACGAACGATTGGTACGTATTCTCCTGCATGGTGTATCTTACCGAGAGCAAGAGGGATTCGTTCAGCGGATCGCCATTTACTTGCTGAACTCCCTTGCATGCCAAGTCGACGGAAGCCAGAAGATGTTCCTCGGTGATTTAGGTGCTATTTCGGTAAGGTCTCATCAATTATCAAGCAAGCTCACAATTCCAATGACTGATGTTTGTGTTTCACTGTCAGACCATGCTGAACTTGATCAGTGACCGGTTGTCTCGTAAGATCTTCGATGACGTCATGGAAGTGGCTTGGTCAACCATGTGGAATGTAACTGACGAGACGGCCAAGAACTGCGAACGGTTTCTGGATGGTCGCGGAATGGAGTACTTCCTAGGGTGTCTGAAGGTAAGTGATACTAGCATATGGTTCGTAGAAATTGATGATAATGGATAATCCTTCTGTTCCAGTTGTTCCCGGAAAAAGACGACCTGCTGCGAAACATGATGGGCCTGCTGGGAAATGTGGCAGAAGTGAAAGATTTGCGCCCTCGGCTAATGACGCCGGAGTTTATTACCGAGTTCGCCGATCTGCTGGATTCGTCAAGTGACGGAATTGAGGTGAGAATGAGTCAAACTGTTAACCCTTCATACAAAGAAGGATAGAAATACCAATTGGAAAACAGACTTTCGATCCAAGTCCCGGAATACTGGGTACCCTATCAAAAGGCGGAAACTAGAGCTGGTAAACATAACGGGCATCATGTGAGAATGAGAAAACAGGTCCTCTCACTATCACGAGACGCTATCATGAGCTTTCTTGTAATTTTCCAACGATCAAGCACTCGTGAGATTAATTCTCATACGGTTTTGACATAAACATTTCTAACTGATTTAGATGAATATAAGCAAACAACAGTATGTAATCGGTAGAGAGAATATTTTGCGATAAGGAACAAAACTACCAATTTTTACGAAATTCCGAGAACCACTATATCGTTTTGCTATGGAATGGCTGAATTGCAATGTCGCATATGTGTCATGATCAGGGGTTGAAACTGTTGACGTTTTTTACTACACTCGCTTTGTTGAAGACGTGTTTATTTACTTCTTTGTAAATCCGATTCCGTGAAGTGAATTAAAAAGTTGGTTCCTATTCCGGAGTACCACATCTGGCGACGAGAATGGGATCCGAACCCACGCGGGCAAAGTGACCAAATTTACTACACTTCTCACATTCTTTGTTACGCGCTGGACACTGTCGATCATTCCCGTAATTAGTCTTCTGTCCTCATCGATAGCAAGAACCGTTTGCTGGATTACCACTTCCAATCACACGGTTCACGTTGTCTCTCGAGCCCGCTCCGAAAGAAGTAGTTGACGAACTGTTTTCATTCCTAGCGATGACTTGGACCTGATGCTTGATAGACTCGAATAAATGAACCATCCGGGTCACTTGGGGTAACGTGAGTGTCTCCTCATGCAGAAGTTTTTCCCTCAACTCCGTAGGAGCGTAGTAAATTATTTTTTTCAATGATACGAAAATCTCGGCTGCAGTTTTACCGAAATCACACTTCTTCGGTTGCTCAGTACATCGCATCAAAAATTTCGTTAGCGGCTCACGCAATCCTTCAGATGTACTTCCCGGTGTCAGCTTGCAAAACTCATTCCTTTCGAACGAATTGTTGTTTTGGTGAAAAATGACCGTCAAATTTTTCTATTGCTGTTTTGCAAGGATTAATTTAATTTTTTTCATCTTCTTGAACATCTGCTCCCTTTATCGAATAAAGTCCTGGAGCTCGAGGCCCCGTTTTTGTTTTTCAATTTATTAGCATTTTTCTCCTCACTGGCAGCAACAACCACTTCAAAAATTTATCTTCCATCGCAACCATTCTTTACGAACCTGCGTTTATGGAAGATGATTAAATTTGAACGGGCTAATGTTCCAACCTTCCATTCTCAGTAGGCGGTGACTTGATGGCAGAGATGCCAGGCTTATTTTGAAAAAATCTGGCAAAACCCAAAAAAAATGTCTGGCAAAAATCTGGCACAGCAAATTAACATAGGAAGCTGGCAGATTTCTCAAAAAATCTGTCTGGCAGAGCTAAAATTTTTCTGGCTGTGCCAGATAAATCTTGCAGCCTGGCAACGCTGCTTGATGGTGTCTCGGTAGCTAGATTTTTTTTTATTGCACACGTGTGGACTTCGTTACCATGGTAACACCACACAACCTTGAAGGTGTTTTTACCTTTTTCTTCCGATCTGGTTTCTACAAATTATAGTGATAGCTTATGCTTTTCCTACTTCCATGCAGCGGCTACACGCCTTGGTTTCTTCGAAACGGCTCTACGCCTGTCCCTGCTCTACGGCAGCAGAAGAATCTGTTTCTGCGTAACAGCAGCGACTTTTGCCTATTTCTGCGTAACAGCAGCAGCTTCTTGCCTTTGAAATATTGGCTAGTAAATCTGAGTTCTATATATTTAACAAAATTGATGTTGAATTGAATGCACCATTGTACTTATTTGATAGTTTTTAATCATACCTAACGACTACGGATTGTAGGTTCCACCTACTCGTCGCCAGATCTGGTACTCTGGAACAGGAACCAACTTCTCAATTCACTTCACGGAATTGGATACACAATTTATTCTCCCCGAGCTTACGTATCTTACGGCTATAGATAGCACAAATACAAAAGTGCTATTTGAAACAAGATGCTCTAAATTTGCCATAAAAATATATAATAGAATATATTTATAAAAAATAAATTTACTGACGATGTGAATCTGATTTTGATCTAAAAAGTGATCAGTGAACGGGCACCATATGGTACATTCTCTCACTATGAACCTGTCATTTCTAGCCTATCTGAACTATTTAATAAATGGAAACCATAACATGGGCTACGCTTCCCCCTAAGCGGGCACCCCGCATTCTATATCTGTCTTATCTCAAATACCAAATGCCAATTTATAAATATACTGCCCTTTTCAGCATAGTTGTACCGTTCGTTAAAACATTAAGCTGAGAAAAGCGCCTTTGCAGATGTTTTCGCCTGGACCCTTATGGATAGGACAGTATAGTTTTGGTATTTTTTGCTACATTTTCAGATCAAAGTAAGAAACTTATCGAGTACGTTTTTAAATGATGGTGCTTGACAATCCATTCTAATGTATAACCCATTTCCGCTAAAAATGCGAATGGGCCTGTTATGCCGCACAGGGCAGTATATAACTTGCCAAATAAAATGTACATACAAATTTCCAAAATATACTTGCACACAGATCACAGTAATTAGAATTTTGCAATTATTTTAATATGCGCTATTATAGCGTGAACGTTCAAGAAATACTTTGGAAGAGTTAACATGCACAGTAGGGTGCTCAGAATGTTGAGTTTTTTCGACAATCCTCCGTGTCAATGAGCCACTTGTTCCCTATGCCAAACTGAGGCTCTGGTCCAAATTTGAGTGACATCGGTTAATATTTACTCATTTCTCAAGCGGGTTGAAGTTTGTATGGGAAATTATTAGCAAAATGTATGGAGAAACACCATGTCTTCACACTTGCGACACCAGGTGGCGTTGTGAACTTGCAATCGCTGTCAAGTCTGAGATTCTCATAGGATATTTTATGCCTAACAATTTTATGCAACACCGCAAGACGATCCGAGTTGATCTGAAAAGGTTATTAGCATGTTTTGAAGTGATGTCTTATGCTCAAACTGTTAATTGTTGAGCCTTCATAAAGCCTCAAGAGAACATAATATTCTTACCCATTGCTTACAAGGTCGCTTTTCGGTTACAAAACAAATTGCTTTTTTTTTTAAATCTTCTTGCATAAGATTCAAAGGTTACTTTTAATAATCAATTTGTATTCATGGTATAAATAGGGCTTGAAACGATCCAGTTGGTTAAACATTATTCGAATTTTTCACTGAATTTTGTATGATTAGTGATGATTTTCTTAAGGTGGCCCCACTTTCCTCTAAGTAGTATCATAGCCGCAAAATAGTATTATAGACTCCCCGCCAACTTGCAACTCCAGAATTAGCTTACAAATGATAAAAATAGCCTCAGAACTCTGAAAATCATTTTTTAAACGCCTTGGAAACCCTTAACATATTCATCACCGAAATAACCTTTAAAACGCCAAAACAATAAACAATTGCCAAACAATCGCCTCATTACTCTGGTCCACTTTGTTAACTGTTTTAGGTGAGCTACAACGCTGCCGGAGTGCTGGCGCATATTGCCTCCGACGGGGAAGCGGCTTGGACAATCGCCGTGCCAACTCGGGACCGAGTTCTGGTTCGCATGGTAGAAGCCATCGAACGGTGGGATCTATCTGCCGAGCGTAACATCAACTACCGCAGCTTCGAGCCGATCCTCGGACTAATACGCTGCTACCACACACCCGCCTGTCAACACTGGGCCGTCTGGGCACTTGCGAACTTAACCAAAGTGAGTTTGGCCGTAGGTTTCGGTACGTTAACTTCAAACTTAAACAAGTCTTTTGATCAGGTATACCCAATCAAATACTGTCGATTGGTTGAACGAGAGCGAGGTGTCGAACTGCTGCAAGAGTTGATAGATCATCCACAGCCATATCCTCGTTTGAAGGAGTTAGCGCAGATGGTACTAACGCATTGTCAAAACTTCACCGATTCGCTGGATCAATGCAGGAAGATGGAGCTAGACGGTTAGAAGATACTGCGTATCCGTTCATACGAATAGTCACAGTAGCGGCTAAATAAATTCGGTAAGCACACCTGCATACATTACATCTATATAGATTTACCTTGTGCGAAAATGTGTAGACAAACAAGGCTGGCGTACGAAATACCAACAGTAGAATTAAGAAATGTAGCAAAACTATCTATTTAATAAAATTAAATTATTCATGATGCGTAACAGCAAAGTTAAAGTGATACAAATAGATATCTCACTCGGAGAATATACATTCTTGTAACGTGCTAAACAGTTGTTAACTAATTGAATTACATGCTTACAACCCATGGAGAACTATCGCAAATTGCCAATTAGTTGCAGACTATATACTACTATATAGGTAGTCCCCATAAAGTTGAAAACATCACCAAATTACATCAGAATACTAAGTGCGCCAACGATATTTAGACGCGAATGACTGAACTGCTGAGGCACCATTGATGGCGGCCTATACGTCAGCAAAACGAGATCCGTACAAACGCTGACCAAGTATTTGTACATTTCCCATATTGAACCCTCTAAACTGTCCTTTCCGTCGCACAAAGGAGGCCTCTATCCTTGTAAGTAGATCCTTTCACTAGCAACACCCTTTTAATTGATTTGTTATTTATAATAAGTTTTAGCACTAACCATCGGCTTGTACAATAAGATTTAATACTACAAACGGCATATTCTCGTTAAATTTTCTTTGGTAAGCAATACATTGTAGCATACCTATTGTTTATAAGGTCAATCTGATGTATTGGAGCATATTTCTGCAATTGTAAAAATCGGTTCGATTTTCAGCTCATGACGACCAACTGTAACGTCGAAACAACTGCGTGGGCTCGAGCTTTGCTTATCCATCAGTAAAAAAAAATGTATACAAATATAGTAGGTAGGGTAAGGTAGGGCAAGATGGATCAGCTAGTACATTTATTAATTTATTTGTTTGTCAAAATCAACAGGTTCAACGCAATCCCAATGATGGTTTACATCTTCAAACTAGCATTGGGGCTACATTGAGCCTGTTGATATTGACAATCAAAAAATAATAGATCAAGTAGTTTACCCATCTTGCCCTACCTAATCCTATATATAATTTAACCCCTGTTGTGGATCGTTTGAGTTTGCACCCCACTTTTCTAACGATTATAAACTGTCGATGTATAAAAGATATATACCTAGCTTTGGACAAAAGCTAACTTTATTTTGCAAAAAAACATTGAATTGGCAGCCGTAAATTGTAAAAAAAATCTTTGAAAAAATCAAATAAAGATCTTAAAAATGGCAATAATTGAATCGTTTATGAATATCACATTCCTTGTAGCGTCTGCTCAATAGGCGTTTGCTGGCTGTTCAGGTTAAAGCAAATTCCTGGTCCTAAGTTTTTCAATGATATTTGTTCTCGTTCTGACATTACTTTGTTAAACCGTCTATCTCGTTGAGTTTCTTTAGCCTTGAACAGGTTCAGGTTGAGGTAAACACCGCGAAGAACGCTGGATTGTTGTGTCCCAGCGTGTCTCGTTCATGGTACACTTCAAACCTTAGCGGCGTATACTTATTTACCTGTCCTATGTGACATTCCGACAATTTTGAGATTTTAATGCTTAACGCATTTCGGTAACAATTCGATTATTTTATTTTCGAAAAAAAAAAATACAAATACACTTAAAATAATTTTCACTTCAATGCTACGTGAAAACATACATAGATTTTTTCCATCACATTTTTCACGTAAGTGTAACGTGATTCTCATATGAAAGCACTCATTTCAGTGTGCGAGATAGCCACGGGATTATCACGTAGAAGTAATGTGATTCTTTCGATGAAATTCATGGTACTTTTCAATAATTTTTATTAAGGTTTAAATTGAATGTTTTTTTCTTGATTTCAAATAAAAAAAGATCCTACAGTATTCTTTGACCATTGTATCTTTATTGTGGCAAATATACACACAGAAGAAGAAATTTATTCGGGCGAAACTGGTCTCTGGAAGGATATGGGACGCATATTATACAAGGGCGCATTTAAATCCATTGTACTCCTTGTCGTCAGACTAAAACAAAGAAACATGCTACAAATTATTCTCACCATACAAATAGTCTGTGATAAAATGTTCAGCCATTATACTTACAACACAAATTTGTCTCACGAAAATAAGCACAAAGATTTTAGCTGGCATGTAAACATGCAACTTGCAATTCCACCATATTTGGTACCATTATGAGTGAGGCACTCATCTACTTTTTCATATGTGAAAATCATTTAACGCTTACAAATGCACATAGAATTTGTGTATGTGCAAATCACGTGCGTTCCATTAAAAACCTAGTGACTTTAAAGGGACTTCCCGTTGATACATATGGGGTATCACCAACAATCAATACGAAACTAACTATTTTAAATTGGCTCACTACTTGACTAACCTATTGGTCCGAAGCAAACGATTAAAGTACCGCATTCTAGTCGAAATTCTAGTACTACACGATGTCTGTTTTGATTCGCTTTGATAGTTTGACAGATAAAATGAGGGGTTCGTGGATTTTCCTATGTTTCGAGGGGTGCATCGATTAGCTGGGGACCGAAGAGAGTGTTAGAGCTGAGCCAAAAAGTTGAGCACGTTTCTTCGGGACCTTCTGGTCTTAGAGTTACCTCTATGGTACAAGTGTCTTGGTAATCTCTCTCTCTACGTCAATGATGATCTGCTCCACGTCTGGCTTCCCCAATAAAATTGTTATGATTATTTTGCTTAACGACGTGTTCCGGGCATCATCCAAACCTTTTTGTGGAATAGTTCAATCATTTGGGTTATCATTCGTTTATGGTATTTTTTTTTATTAGGGTTGATTGTAACCGCGTATCCTAGCCCCTTGTTGAGGAGTGTCAATTGTTCTTCCATGAATGCGGTCGTCGATCGGTTGACAACCAGCCCATCAATGGAGTGAACCCTCGGCGTCGTGGTGATGGTGGATGGGTTCGGTGGTTCGTCCGTCTCCGTTGAGACTCGTGTCGTAGTCTGTTTAGCTTCCGTTTCCTATCTGATTCGCACTCCTCTGCTACCTTTGACCTAGACAAACTTGGAGATTCCATCCACATATTTATCTAAACAAAAGTACCGAAAACGGGACATAACGCATATTAAATAAATTGATAGAGTGGCGATAGGGTGTCGGTGAAAGGGATTGAAAACCATAACGAGGTTTCGTTTCATCTCGATAATCGACGTTACTTTCATTGAAAGTGATGAGCAAAGTAAAGAAGAGAAAATCCATAGCCAGCCTTTCGTTCTAAGCCTGCTTCTTTTTCATTTTTGTTTTGTGCTGATAGTCTAGCTAGGTGTTATAGAAATGATGCGTTGAACACGTTGTATGAAAGAGATAATACCTACTCGAGTTCAATTTAGAGCTTCGAAAATTTAAAGCCCTGCTCAGAACAACCTTTAAATTATAATAATAATTCTCTCTATTTTTTTCTAAAAATTACCTGATATCCTCCTCAGGATCACCTAAGAATTCTCCGTGAAGTTCTCTTCACAACTTCCTTGGGATTCTTCTGAGAATGCTGAGAATTCCTTAGGTCTTAATCTTAGAATGATCGTGGATTCTAGTCAGGACTTCTTTGATTTTTTCTCAATTTTGTTTGGGAATAATTAAGTTTTTTGGAGTGTAACAATTTATATTAAAAAAATATTCAAATGCATATAATTTATTTTCTACCAAATCTTGGATGTTTTTTTTTTCAAAATCAGCACAGATCGTTGAAAGAAGCTATTATCTATCTTGTAATATGACAAACATGACAAGAAACGGTTCGATACCCAAGTTATTAACGAAAGAGAAAGTCGATGAAGAGAATCGATCAATGTTGCTTAGGCCCTAATGCAATGTTCAGCTTGAATTGTGCAAAGTTCGATCGATTTGTCATTTGGCGAGTAACTGCACGAAAACGCCTCTGTCAATCGAAATGACGTCTAAGACAAAGCTGTTGGAAAATATATGGTCTTTGAAGATCAGCCATCGCCGAGAAAAGTAAGTGACACACACATACAGTGCACACACCCAAATACAGCAATCTGCTGATCTTATCGAGTTGAGCCGATTGGTTTATAACACTTTGCATGGAACGAAAATGTGAGTTTCAAGTGATATTATTGCTTTTCGATACCTATGCTATGAGTTCCTGCAGATTTTTCAAAAATATGTGTAAATTTCGTATGGAAAGAAAATGGTCTGAGTCAATTGAATTCAGTCGCTGAGTCGTTCTGATTGGCCGTGTAGGTAAGGTAAAGGCACAGACAAACATGCATAGCTCTTAGGCTCTGAACCATTTGCTGGATTATTTTAACTTTTGGTTAAAATTTGACAGATGGAAAGTTATCGATGAACCCTGCTATCCGAGCATGGTTATTTCTGACAGACAAGAAGTTAAATTTTGACAACGGTGGGTCGAAAACCGGTCGATCGACAACACGGGGATTTTCAAACATAGAAAATAACTTTCGAAATGTCACTTTTAACCACGAGTTAACTTTAACTCGGCAAATGGTTCACAGCCTTAGAAGGAAATTCTTAAAAACAAATCGTCAAGCGTATTTTGCATGCGTGGGGTGTATCAGCGGAGAACACTCAAAAGCTGCAGGTCTTCATCAACCGATGCCTGCGGTATATAATTCGTGCCTGGTGGCCTCACAACTGAATCTCGAATGCCGAGCTCCATCGTCGATGTGATCAGAAGCCGATAGCAACAGAAATTCGAGAGCGAAAGTGGAGGTGGGTCGGCCACACACTTCGACGGGGCGGAAACGAAATCTGCAAGCAAGCGCTGGATTGGCATCTCTCGTTCATGCAGTTTTTTCACTATTTGCTTTTCCCTCGATCTGTCAACATACCAGCTGTGTTGAATAAAAAGTAAACAGATATAAGGCAGTGAAGTCGGTTTGATTTTTTTTAGGGATTTGTTTTGTTTGTTTAGTGCGATTTTGCTTTTACTGGAAACAAGTTTTCAATCGTGGTAATGCTTTGGGTAATGCATCACTAATGAGTGCCATTTCTAACACCGCTCATCACTTTAATGTATACACAGCAAACACATATAATATAGTAAAAACAATACATGTTAAGCTGAACATTGCATTAGGTCCTAAGTAACATTGATCAATTCTCTTCATGAACTTGCTCTTTCGTTAATAACTTGAGTACAGAACCATTTCATGTTGCGTTTGTCGTGTTACATGCTAGATAAAAGCTTCTTTTATCGATTGGTGTGCTGAAAATACATGAGAATGTCTTAACATGGCCGTGGGGATACAAAGAGAGAGTCGACGAAGAGAATCTGTCAATGTTACTTAGGACCTAATGCAATGTTCAGCTTGATATAGTCAAAGTACATAACTCTGGATGGGAGCATACCATCAATAACTGTCAATGGTCGAAAGGTACAGTAGCAGCACCTACCCTCCCCGTGTCCCCTCGAGAGCGTCAAGTCGACGATAACAGGAGCACATACCGTGGTAGAGGTAACAATAGCTGCAATTTCCAAACTTACGACTGGATGCCTTCCTTCAGATAACAACTGGAGTGCGGTAAAAATCGGTAGAACTGCTTCAAACACATCGTCGGTACTTGAGCGGTCGGTGATCATCTCTTTTTGCCAGTGGTAGTGGGCGGGGGTGGTCACCCCTCACCATCCCTTTTCAAAGGGGGAGTTTGGTAAAGAGAGATGACAAAACCGATTTGTACCTTCCTAAAGTTGTCCTAGCTCTTTTTCTACTCTCTATATGCAATTTTCACACTGCCGTACTCTAAACGGAACTATTAATTCTATACTTTCATCCCCTCATCTATCGTATAAAAATTACCACTTTAGTCTGCTATTCGAAATTAGCATCTTCAACTATGTTTCTATCAATGATATTCATGGTGATGTATTGAACATCAATAACTGGTAAACGTTGATAGAATATTACAGTCATCAAAACAATTTGTTCTCAAATTCTGTGTACATCGTATAGCGTAATATTATACAAGTAGAATGACTAATGTGTAGCAGGTTTTTTTTTTTAACCTAAATGTGGTAGCTTGCTTAACGCTTCAGTGGCGCTACCATGAAAAATGCGAGAAAATTCCAACTAAAACCTTATTTGCGATGAATGTGATTGTGAGAATTATGTCTGTTTCTCTGTGGTAAAGGCTTATGTGGTTTCGTTTAAATTCCAGTTTTATAAGTGCTTTTCATGCCTAGACAATTGAAGGAAAACATTCGTTTGTTCGAAATAAGACAATTTTCACTCAACCCAAGGAAATTTAGTTTTCACATTCAATAATAAAACCTACCTAAAAGTTTTGTCTAAATTGTGTAAATTTTATGATTTTTTTATTTGCGATTATGCATTACATCGTACAGATCTCGTATGGTCTTATAATGTGGAAGCTTGTACTGCAGATTCTAGAGTCATCCAATCAGTTTATACTCACTTTTTTACATTTTTTTTTATTCTATAAATGTCAACTTTTCACATTTGTTCTCTCTCTCTCTCTCTCTTTCTCTTTCTCTCTCTCTCTTTCGCTCTCTCTCTATCTCTCTACCAATTTTATATTGTTTTTGAACGTTGAAATCTTTGCTCGAGCTCTACATACAGTGTGGCAAGTGAAATACTTTTCTTAAAATGATTTTGCTTATCTTGTGCTTCGTATTATGTGTCACAGATGAATAGAAAACTGTGGTCTCAAGACACAAATAAAAAGAGTTTCCGTCAAAATGTATCTATCAGAATACCTAACATGGGACAGTTATGAATAAATACAGGTCGAAAATAACGTCATAAAGGAGCGTTAATAATTCGGGTGAATGTAAGGTTATAGAAAGACAGACGGAAGTCACAGTTGGAACTTTACATGTTAGATGGCACATTTATGTATGTAATGATGATATTAGCCTAATCTTAAATTCTCCAGTTAACAAGAATTGTCTCTAAGGTTACTAAAACAATGTGTTTGCCCTGTGCAAAGTGTACGTTAATCACTTTATAATGTAAGAAGTCTGGAGTGATTACTATCGTCTGACATTTACTCTAAACATTTGCAAATTGCTTAGAGGGATAACAAATACAACTAGCTTCGATCGATCGTTAACATTATCCAGAATCAGATTATCCATCGTCAAAGGGTGTGCAGTTTTTTTTTTCTAGAGACAAAAGGAATACATTGCCAAACCTACTCCTGCCAAACATCAGGCAGACAACGAACAGATATCACTAAATCAGTGCTTTAGCCATGATGCGGGTTTCACTTGTGTTTGTAACATTTCCTAACACAGCTTTTGATCTATTTTCTACGGATGCATATTCAATCAAATGTTTATTTGATTTGCATTGATTTTCAAAACTTTCCTACATTTCAATAGAGTTGAAAGCGTGGAATTGTATCTAGCTTGCTTGCCTTTGCTTTGTGACCAAACTTGAAGCAAGCTTGTCCTAATACCTAAGGAAAAAATAACCTATTCTTGTAATGTTCAATGTTCATCTACATCTACGCTTTGATCTTGTTGCGTTTCCGGTGGTTCCTCCGGTTCCGTTGCAAGCCCTTGGGCCTTATCTAGTGGAAGGGGAAAGACCTCCGGCGGTATCGCCGAATAGGTATCGTGAATGATATTCTTAAATTCGAGAATCGTTTTCATCGTCGTACTTATGGGAGTGATGATTTTTGCTATGTCATTCTCTTCCGGCGGTGGTGCCATGGTTTCTGATTCTGCAACCATCTCTGGCTGGGCATCGTATTTCAGCTCGTCGTAGGGTTGCTGCTGCGGGATATGAGTGATCTGCGGGGGAGATGCCACCGGAGGCTGTTGAAGGTCTTGAATACCTTGAACTGAGGGAACTGGTTGGACAAGCCCGGCTGCAGCATCTGCGAATGCTGGCGGTTGGACTACCATTGGTGCCGGTACTAAAATTTGTACAATCGATGGCTGTTGGATCATGACCGGTGCTGGAATCATTGGCAACTGCGGTTGCAAAAGAGGCTTGAGCAGAGGAATCGGAGGTTGCATGAAGATGGGAGAGTCGATGGAAATCTGTTGAGGTACGATGCAATGTGCAATACCAATCAACCGAGCGTGGTAGGATTCCATCTGAGAGACCAATTCCGGAAGAGATTCGTCGCAGAGAACGGGATTTTCTGTAAACATATTGAAGGGATTATCATGTGCGAACCATTTTCCATAGATAGATGCTACAAACCTTGTAGGAAAATCTCCAACTTGTTTGGCACACCGTGATTGCTGCATCGTGTTTGAGAAACCAGGTCAACCGACAACACACGAATCATGTTGTTGGATAAATCAGCCGTACACAGAACAGGCAGTCCGTGGAAATCTTTATCCATCGTTGTCAACAGGTTATACGAAGCATTCACCGCTTGCAACGAGGGGAGGAAGGTCTAAAAAAAACAATTATTATTATTCTCAGTGAATTTTACGGCCAAAAAGCGCTTACCTTAGACAATTCTTCCAATGTCTTCAACTTGTTAAATGATAGATCCAAATGCTCCAGATTCTCCATGCCGATCAGATCGTCGGGTGTAATGACCTCCAGCACGTTGTGTGCCACGTTCAGAATCTTCAAATTGTTCAGTCCCATCAGCGTTCCGTCGAGTGACTTGAGCAAGTTGTGCTGCAATCGCAATTCGTAGATGATCGATCCCGAATCAACCAGGTTCTCCATTCGACCTGTAAGTTTCTCTATTTTGTTGTAGGACAGATCCAGAATTCTTAACTTCCTCAGCCCCTGCACTTCTTGCAGAGAGAACTCGTTCAAAAGATTGAAGCTGAAATTGGCCATAATCAATCCCTTCATGTTCACCAACGATCCATTCAGATTATGCAGCTTATTTTCCGACATCTGTAGGTCCTCCAAACGCTCAGCTTCCGAAAATTCGTCTTTCCTCAAATGAGTAATCTTGTTATCCACAGCTACCAATTTGGTGAGCTGAGCTGATCGCGATAGAAGACCGTCGAAAGACCTCAATTCATTGCCATTGATGAACAACGAGTCCAAATTCTTTAAATATTTGATCTCGACAGGCAAGTGATCAATTTTGTTGTTTTGAGCAAAGATAGTCATCAGGTTCGGAGAAGCCAGTGGAAGTTCATCGTCCAACGAAGTCAAATGATTGTCGTTGATGAACAACAGCTTCAACTCATCTAAATGCCTCAGTGTACCGTTCAGTGTAGTGAGATTGTTATGGCCATAATGCAACGAGATCAATGTTCGGGGCATTGAATCGGTATCGATCCGCTGCAATTGATTAGAAGCCACGATCAAATGCCTCAGGTTCTGCAACTGCTTGAACGTGTCCCCGTTGATGAACCTTAGATTGCCTTTGGCGAAATCCAGCGTCCCAGCATTCGGCATATGCTGGAACATGTCCGCCGGAATCTCCTCGAGTCGGTTCTCCGATGCACTGAAGTATTCTAACCTTGGAAGATTCTGAAACGTTGGAACCGGTAGATTGCTGAAACGAGACGGAGAAGAACAAAACACACTCAGTTCAACCGATAATTCAATTAGTGCCGGCGACGAATGATCAATCGAGATCAGGCCGAGTGTGGCAAAGGTGGCTCGGGTCAATTGGAAAACATTTATTGCGAGTCATAAACAGTAGCACGACGCGGACGTTGGCTGGCGCTATCGATCGATGGGAACGGTGGGATTGGATTGGAGTAGTTCTGAGGAAACAAATCAGTGCTAATTTTTAGGTTGTATTTAGCGTGTGCAGAAAATTGTGCGGTCATTGAGTTGGGCCATTGAGCACACATGGGCTGTTCACGTGATTTTGGTTCAAATGTGACGCGGTGGAAGATCAATCAATCAATCACTCTAGGGTGCTCCATTATGAAAATAAAAAGTATTTGCAATCTAATAGGCCACCATTAATAACGCCAAAATATTAGCCTGTGCCAGATTGGTGGAGGTTTAAAGATCGCCAAACAGTTTTAATTTTGCTACTATCGCTCTATCTTTGGTTCCATATATCAAAATGCTGTTAAAATTGAATAATGCAGTTGCCACGACAATGATAAAAAAGCCTATCGTCGTAGTGTTGAAATTGGCATTATTATCAGGCACATACCCAAGTAACATTGCAAGCTTTATAGAGGTTTTATAGCATTTTACAAGTCTAAATCATGGTTTACAGAACGCTCACAAAACCAAAATTGTTACTTGGGATATTGAACTATAAATTAACCCTATGAGCAATTCCAGACAAATTCGCAAATCCATTAATTTTCGTATTTTTTTATTTGGCTGAAAATTTTCAGAAATGTTCCTCATGACCCAAAATGGGTCTTTTGCATCTTCAGATCACCATTTTAAATCGAGCCTTAATTTTGAAAAGGGCCTACAGAAAAATGTTAAGCTTATCTTCAGAAAACTGCTGCTCGAAAAATGTTTGTCCAATCGGTTTGGTATCTTCGGCAATGTTGTATAGAACCTCTGGAACTGTTTGAATTTTTTTTGCACTCCACTATTTTTTAAATCTAAAATAAAAACTAAAATATCGTTTGTTTTAGGGGGCAATGAATGTCACCTATTGCACTATAGGTCAAGATGGAAAGATGGACAAAAAAGTTATGATTTTTGAAAAAAAAAAGTTTATGGAAAAATATCCAAAATTTGGTTCAATTTTTTTTTCGACTTTATGTAGGGGAAATGACGGCTTCGGCATGACAGACTATTTTCGGCAACCCAAATTGAAACACTATTTTCACTGGATTTTCTTACGAAAACACTTCGCTGAATGCATGCAAACGATTCTTTTTGCTTTTAGCTTCAATTTGACTATATTTTTACCACTGAGAAAAATCAATCTAGCAGGGTTTTCTTGAAATGAAACACACGCACTACAAATTGTAGCTGATTTCGAGTTGCCGATAATAGAACAGCAGATTTACATGCAGTTCAAATGGAACGGTTGCCGAAGAAAAACTGGTTGCCGACAATACTCGCTCTCACTAGAGAAGATTGGAGCTTTGTAAAAGCGTTTCAAAACAATTTTTGACAATTCTTTCGACTGAAATTGTTAGAGCAGCTGGCAGCAAAAGATTGTAAACAAACCAATACTGCATATGTGTGCGTTCCTTAGAGAAAAAGGCTATAGAAAGAAGGTCGCTGCTTAGGTTGCCGAGAATACGTAAATTCCCCTATTGAAAGTACACCTCATTTACACTAAAAAAGAACTTAAATAAAATTTCGAGATGCAGCGGTTTGAACGTAGATTTTTTTTAAAATGCTGGTAGTTATGGTCCATTTTCGAATGTATTTCACGGTTTCGGGAACCAAAATTGCCGAAGGTACCAAACCGATTGGACAAACATGTTTTGAGTAACAGTTTTCTGAAAATAAGCTTACCTTTTCTTTATAGGCTTTTTTCAAAATTAAGACTCGATGCAAAATGGCATTTTTGGTCATGAGGAACGTTTCTGAAAATTTTCAGCCAAATTAAAAAAATACGAAAATTAATGGATTTGCGAATTCGTCTGGAATCGATCAATACTAAAGGGTGTCCCACATCAAATTGCATCACGGAAAAAAAAACGTTGTAAAAAATTACCCTTTGGGTATTTTCTCTTGAAAATGTGGCTAGAAGTAGTTTAGAGTGTATTGTATTTTTATCGCTGTCAGTTTTTCGAAAGTTGGAAAAAAATGGCGTCACCCGAAAAACAACTCGGAACCGTGCAGTCAACGGTGAGTCGTGTAATTAAACGTTACTACGAAACTTTGAGCATCGAACGGAAGGAGAAATGCGCTCATAATGGATGTTCTATTAGTGATCAGGATCACAAGCGTGTCGTGAAAGCGTTTAAGCGGAATCCCGATGCTTCGGTCAGGGATGTGGCCAAAAAGTTGAATCTGTCCAAGTCTTTCGTTCAGAGAGCCAAGGACCGGGAGGGACTGCATACGTACAAAATGCAAAAGGCTCCAAATCGTGACGAACGGCAAAATACGGTGGGAAAGTCACGGGCCGGGAAACTGTACACCCAGATGCTGACGAAGCCTTATTGTTTCACCATGGATGATGAGACTTACGTCAAGGCGGACTTCCGGCAGCTTCCGGGGCTACTTTTCTTTACCGCCCAGCACAAGTTTAATGTTCCGGAAGAAGTAAGGAAGCAGAAACTTTCAAAGTTTGACAAGAAGTACATGATTTGGCAAGCGATCTGCTCATGTGGCAAACGGAGTGTGCCGTTCGGGACTGTAAACGCGGAGATCTACCTCAAGGAGTGTCTACAGAAGCGTCTGCTTCCTCTGTTGAAGCAACACGAGGGCCCTACAGTATTCTGGCCAGATCTAGCTTCGTGCCACTATTCAAATGTTGTTCTGGAGTGGTACGAAGCCAACGGGGTCACTTTCGTACCCAAGGACATGAACCCCCCCGCCAACGCACCGGAACTAAGGTGAAAAATACTGTGCTATTGTGAAGCAGGCACTATGGAAGCATCCCAAGGAGGTCAAATCTGAGGAAGACATGAAGAAAAAGTGGGTTTCCGTACATAAGAAGCTGCAGCCAGATGTTGTATAGAACCTAATGAGTGGAGTTAAGTGTAAGGTGCGAGCGGTTATGGTATTGAAGTTGAATGAAATAAATATGCCAAAAGCTTACTAATGGGTTGTATTTTATTGTCTGAAAGTTTGAAAAAGATCGGTCATCTAGGTAATATTCTACAGCGTTTTTTTCCGTGATGTGGGATACCCTTTAGAGTCCATGATATTAAGTGTTTGTCCTAAATGATACATGGACTTTGATTATCGAAGCCATAAATTTTGCAGTCGCAAACATTAATAAGTCAACAATAAATTACGTTTTTATTATAGTCACTTTAACGCTCTTGGGCCATTCGTGACTTGTCCGGGATGAGATTTGAACTCGTGACTTTGATGTGAGAGGTATAAAGGCTAACCACTATGCCGGGGTCGCCCCCCAAACAATAAATAAGTTTTAATTAAACCTATGTATCTCAATTGATATATCAATTTTTCGATGATGTGATGCATGATGTCCATTTACGTCTGTATGAAAAATCATAAAATTTGATCCGTCGAACGGTACCAGTACATGAGGTTTTAAAAGTGCCCTTTTCGGGGCTTTGCCGGAACCGGTTTTGGGTACCTAGATGTGGCCAGATCCAGATGTTGGTCCATGGCATGATGTCTATTTGCTTCTGGATAAAAAATCATAATTTTAAGCTGTCGGACGGTACCAGTACATGAGGTCTTGGAAGTGTCCTATTGTTCCCTATCGGAACCGGTGCCAGGTAATCTACCCTTGTAGAAACTTATATACGACTTATTTCAGTCATAAACAAGTTGCTGTAACTTATAGTGATGAAAGTGTGCTACTCGGGTAGATGGTCAAATTGGTGGAATCTTGGTCAGAGTGCTAATCTAGAAACCTTCATCTTTCGTTTGAGGCCAATCGGTTCAATTTTTTTTAATTTTTGGATTTTTGGGAGCGAGTTGCAGTGTGGATCTTTTTTGACCCGCTAATGCACAATGTGTCACTTTTTTTGTAGCGCCACTCCTAGAGGTCACTAGAAACTTCTTTTGACAGCAAAATGTTCGTTTCTGAAAGTCCCCTGGGCATTGGCATAACCTTGAGTATTTCTTAACTGCAACCAGGTACAAGATAAATCGTCCAGCTCAAACCTTTGTAGGTGTAAGAGGTGGGGCCATCATCATCATCATCTTTACATTTTGAAAGATGCACACTAGTGATGCCAGTTGTGATGTGTGAATGCGACATCAGACAGGTTTGAATTTGGCTTGATCGAGTGGCGATTTTCTTTTTTTTTTTGATCAATACGATGAAATTTTGAAGAAGACAACGATATTAACTATCTGCACGCTGGATCAACATATAGTCATGCTAGAGGGATTGAACATCATTTTATTTTCATAAAAACAGAACCATCATAACAGATTAACAGGAAACCCTTTGGTATATGGGATCTCGGAGAAGAAGAAAATTGGAAGATCATGATCCACTCACGTTCTGGAACAATCTCCATGATGATTCGAGCGTCCGCAAGAGAGTAGTAGTAATGACCACATTGCCCCCGAGTGGCTGGGTAGTTATACGATAAACAACAAGACAGTAATATCAAGGCTCAACTACTACGGGCACATTCAGGCGGAATTTTGAAAACGGCACTCAAGTAGAGAATACCAGAACCCAAGAAAATTGGAAGACCGGCATATACCTGGAAAACCTGTATTCGACAGGACGTGGAGAGCACACTTAGAAATAACTACTTTTACGTGGGACGTAATCCATATTGGACGTAATTCATGGAACGTAAACAAACATTTCATGTAAAATTAAGTGATCTCAAACCGAAACATCAGCTAGTCGGCGAAGAGAACGTTTGATTGAATTGATTTTCACGTTTCTTACAACTGATTCTTATGTCAAAAGGCCCGCTTACATGTGTCGGTCTCAGGGAACCGAAATTT